ATTTGGGGAGTCTTAATACATTCAATCTAATAAAGTGATCCACCTATTATTTTGAATATTCAGAAATAGCACTTCCTAGGACCATAGTTCACTAGACAACTCTATTGCTATTCCCTTATGGGAGAGCTAATACAGTATATCAGGAACTCATCTAAGATGTTCAGCACCACCAATGTTGGGGTCTTTTATATAGAATTCTATTGGCTCTGTTAGCACTTTAAATTTTTTCTGGGGGCTTGTTATGTTTTTTGATATTATTTGATTACTTGATTGGAGTACTGATTTTGTGTAAAGGACATTGATTCCTCGGTTGATAGTCATGAATATCGGAACCTGTTATTCTTCTTTCAGTATCACACTGGGTTGAATTTTTGACTTATTTATGGGCTTGTTTGGTCAGCTTTATGAGTGAATAGGTCCTTCTTTTTCTATTTGAGAGGATAATCTGTTTATATTTCTGGAATCTTGTACTACCTATTGGACCATATTTGTGGAACCTTGTATGTGTCTTGTCTTGTTATGGCTGTGATAAGTAGATAGGATCTTTCTTCACTTTTCTATTAGGTACCTGAGATCAGTTGTGTATGGAGGACTTCGTGTTATTCATGCTAGCTTTATATAGAACCTTGTGTATTGAATTGTTGTTCTTACTATAGGCATGATGAGTATATGGGTTCTCTTTATTGTCTTGTGGAGCACTTGATTATCATCATGGGAGAGATGAGATCTTTGTACTATCTTGTGATTGAATTTTTCACTTGATCCTCATGTGGTATTGAACTTTAGACCTTGTGATTTTGACCTGGGTGCACTACCACTGTGCTATTGACCCACAGGTCTAATAATAGTTTGTATTTATACTACAAGTATTAATTTTTAATATATAATTAAAAAAAAGATATAAAGAATTAAAAGCATATAGTTACTTATTAAACAAAGGTCAAATAAAGTTATCAAATATCAAAATAAATTAACTGGTATAATTAAAGAAACAAAGATTTATTCATTTGAAGAAAGTAAGACTGATCTGAGAAATTCTACTAAAGGAAAAATAAATGTATATTATTACAGTTGATGTTCTGAAGAGATATTTTTTGGCAAATATTTTATATTGAATAATTAAAATATTAATTATAATTATTTATGGTTAAAGAATTTGTTGAAATATTTGAATAAATATTTAAAATTAATTCAAACACTTTAGCCAACTTGTAAATGATATCATAATAATTTATATTTTTATGACATGATATTATCAGAAGGCTTGTCAAATTGAGTATATAGTTTGAAAAAAATTTTGGAATGTAAATAGGAAAAAGAAACAATAAAGAGTAAAGAATTAATATTTAAATTCAAAAGATAAAAAATTACTGAATATGTGAAATCATAAATATATTAATATATTCAGAGAGTAAGAAACAAACAGGAAAAGATATATGAATAGATGAAATTTGAGAGCAATTAGATTAAAAGAAAAAGTAAAAAATCTCAAAAAACATTTGATAAGATAAAATTAATTGAAGCTAGTTTTAAAAAAGTCAAATTGAAATCTTTAAAGAGAAAAGAAAAGTAAGTAGAAGAGGAAGAAAAGAAGGAAGAGAAGAAAGAGGAAAGTGATAAATAATTTAATTAATTGATTTTATAATTTTTTAATAAATTTTATAAAATTTGTTAAATTCTTGAATATTTATCAAATTTCAATACTAGGTTTCTGAATTTTTTGCTATAATAAATTTTTTGTCAAATTTATTACTATAGTATCAATTTTTTACTAACTTTTTTGGTATAATAATTTTTTATCAAATTTTTTACTATAGTATATAAAAAAATTTTTTGCTATAGTATGCAAAAATTTTTTTTATCACAATATTGTCAAATTTTGTACTGAATTTTTTTATCACAGTATGCTGGAATTTTTTATGCTGAGTAGTAGCAATTATAAATGATTTGTCAATCTTATTATTATTCTATTTTGTCAAATTTAGCAATAATTTGACAGCTAAATGATATAATTTCAACTAGTGATAGTAATAGAATTTAAATTTAATCAAATATTTCTAAATAACAAGTTATATAGTAAATTTGTTAAAGATTAGTTTTTAGAAAATTTAATGATATAAATAATATATGGCTTTATATGATAATCTTTGTAGTCTTTACATTAATTTATATATTACTTTATCAAAATCAATAAATAAAACTGGGCCTTTATTTTATATCTGTAGTAGTAATTTGTAGGTAATGATATTAAAAATTGAAAAGGTGTTTATTTGAACTCCTAACAAATCAATAAATCACTTTTGAAGTTTCATTTAAAAAGATAAAACAATCAAAACAAGTGAGCTAGTTAAAGAATTGGCTTTAGCATTTTATGTTATATATATAGTTTACAAATATTTAATAAAGCATATATAATTAATCTGACAGAGGGCAAAAAAAAAAAAAAAAATCAAGTCTTTATTTTATATCAACTAATATATAGTATATTTAAAAAAATCGATTTAATTTTTTTAAATATTTGACTTTTTTATTTTATATTAATTATAAAAAAAATAATAAAAGAATAAAGGATAAAAGTTTGTTATTAACTAAAAAAACTCTTTTTATTGATTCCTTGATAATGCACAAAAAATGTATTCACTAAAAAATGTTTTATACTTTTTTGCTAATAAAGTCTTATTACTTTTCTTATAATAATTTGAAAGATAACTTCAAGAATTACTTTCAATTCTTCTTTTTTGTTTGTATTTCTTTTCAAACAAAAACTTAACTTTTGATAATCAAAAAAAAATCAATAGTAAAGTATTAAAAGCCTATCTTTTGATACAAAAGTATAACTAGAGGTCTTTTGCAATATATAAATTAATGAACAAAAGTCTAAACCTGAAAATTTCCTTCTTACTGTTTTTATCTTCTTAGGATCATTTATTTTCAAAGTTTTAGGAGAATTTTGTTTATTTTAACTTAATCTTGAATTTTAAAGTAATACAAATTGATATAACTTTTGTTAAAAATAATTGATCTACACAAAACACATTGGTAGCTGAATATAAACAAGTTCTTATTAATTATATTATGTATTTTGATGATGTTATTGATAAAAAAAAGATAATCATTAATATAAACTCCTTTATTTCTTCAAATTAAATATAATTAAAATGAAAAAATTATAAGAACATTAATATAGACATTAAATTCTTTAAGTAATAAAAAGTTGGTTATTTGTTTAAGTTGAAACCTTCAATTTCTTATCATTCTTATTAAGCAAAGTATATAAAAAAAGTTATTTTCTTATTTTGGTTTGACTATAAGATTAAAAAGTAGAGAAATGTGAGATACTATATTTTTTTAGGATTGAGAATATATATTTTTAAACATTGTATAATAATATAGTAGTTGATAAGAATTCTTATCACTGATTTTATTCTTTTTATTATTACAAGGTAAAAAGATTGTTAAGAAATTTGATTTTTTGGATAATAAAAGATAATTATTAATAAAATTTTTTTAACTAGATATAACTATTGTAAGATATTGAGAGTTATACAACAAGATTGAAAGTCATAAAAGAATTTAGGATTTATTATTAACTGTTTTATTTTGTATAGGTAAATATAAAATTTAAATTGAAAGAAAGAAAGCATTAAACAAAATATTGAATTTAAGTAGATGATAAGTACTTTAGATAATTATAAGAAAATAATAAAGATCATAAATAGATAAGTTCTTTAGATAGTCAGAAAAAATCCTGATATTTCAAAAGAATTGACTTCAAATAAGAAGAAATTTTCAGTGAAGATCTTTTGAAGAATATAGAATACTTTTATTTTTATTTTTTTATATTTTTTTTTTATATAATGCACTTGTATATTTTTAAATATATATATAAATATATATATATTTTCTTTTGTAATTTCTTGAAATTAGTTCTTTGAAAGATAATAAGTAATAACAACTTGCTAACAATAATGTATAAATTAAAAAGATATTTATTCAAAATCTATTATAGAGTAAAATATTATTTTCAAAATTGTAATTAAAAATTGAAGTTTTTTTGAAAATTGAAAGTTATTAACAAGTGTATCAATATAAGATTTAACTTATTCATAATGCAATTGTCCTATGTATCTCTATCAATTTTCATATTGATCAATAAACATATAATACTAGCTTGACCATAAGTATTAAAAAAATAAATAAATAAAAAAGTTTAATGAAATATTAAAAAGGTTTCAATACAGTAGATAAAATATAATTAATTATTTTTATTGAAAGTAATGGAAAACATGATTGTGATATCAACCCTAATTGGGCTAGATCGAATTTCTATTGATGACATCGAATTGTAACGGATTTATGTCCACATACGTTTTTGGCAGTTGCACCTCAAATCACGAACGATCGGATTGGGTAATTTCATAAAATGCATAGTACCACAAAAAAAGCAGGTTAAAGATTCATCATGACTTCTTGCACAGAGGTACTCTCCTAATATCGGAGTTTCGTTCGAAATTACCGAAATAAGAAATTTCATGATATTTGTTTGACCTTCTTACGCTTTGCTTGTCTAATCTTATGAGAGGATAGGTTCATAGATTACAATAAACATGCGAAGACATTTCTTCTTATCGTCCCATAGGTTTTTGACCATTATTTTATATACCATTGCCTTGACAGTTGGACGAAATGGGATTGTAAGAAGCGAGGACTTTTGTTCTCAGCAGCAGCGGCAGCAGCTGCATAATATTACAAAACCAAATATAATTGTTGGCCGTTATTATCAAGATTGTAACATTCCAGCTCTAGAAGAATACGCCAGCTCGTCGGGATTAACGCATTTGAATTATGTTGGTATGAAGGAAGGAAAATTTTGTTCGGTTGTTTCTACGCTTGCAACATTTAAAGTTCACGCACGTATTTCACAAATTAAGTGACCAATCTCTCGAATGTAAATACCATCGATATACAAAAACTGACGAAGTTGAGGGATAATTGGCAAAATGGTAAAGTGAGTGGGTAATTTTCTTCGTTGATCATATTTAAACCGTATTATTGCACTCGCAAATATCAATTCTTTTTGGTTTTTTAGATATTATTGTCCGTTTCAACAGATTCAATACCGAATAGTAGTAATTTAAGTGATTTCATCGGTTTTGTGGAAAGTCATTTCGGCAATTACTCATTTGATGGTGTAAGTAATGGATTGTTTAGCACCATATTTCACGATAAATAATAAATTATCATAACTTAATTATAACAGGTCGACATTATATATCCTTCTTGTAATAATAACGATTTGAACATCACAGATTTGATAGGGAATTTAAGCAATATGTATAATGGTGTGAAGACAATCACAGTGGGACCCTCACAGTTTCCACACCTCGACAATAATGTTCTTGATTCACTCGATTTTATAAATGTTATGGTGAGAGATATCTGAATCTCCTTATCGTGTTCTGTCCAGGGCTAACATTTGCTTTTATTCTACTTTCGCGAATCAGGCATATCAACTTAACCAGAACGCTAGTAATAAGATTTCCCTATATTCACCATTTAACTCGCAATATCCACAACAGACATATCAAAGTGTGCTTAATACCTATAGCAATTTTAATTCGAGTCGAATAGTCTTTGGCGTTGACTTTGGTGGCATCATAGAAGTGGTGTTTTCTTCCAATGGTGATTTCAATATTAGCAATCTTGTGCCTGTGACATCTGACGTGAGTTTCCCATTTAATGGATCTCAGCCGTTGAATGGATGCGTGGGGGCGCCATATATAAATTCGATTGCGTTCAATGATATAATAAGTTATGAAGCCGATTTATGCGCAAACGAGTCGGGCTGGACTCGAGGTTTTGATTACTATTCTCAAGAACCGTATCTTTACAAAATAGATCAGAACCCGAATAAGTATTATTTTATATCTTATGAAGATAGTGGATCTCTATATCAAAAAATAAATTGGTCAACTAGTCAAGGATTTGGTGGGATAGCGATTGCAAATTTATCAAAAGACACTAATGATATGACGATGTTGAAAGCCATAAATGCCATGTTCACCGATGGAGGAAATGGACCATCGACACCGCCTACTTCAACTTCACCTTCACCTCTCATTTCTACAACCCCCAATTCCATCAGTGCATCTGCCAACCTCAAATCTTCCAAGATTTCTACCGCAGGATTAATTGGAAGTATCATCGGGGGAATATTATTCATCTTGATATTATCTGCCGTAATAGTATTTTTTGTCATGAGAGATAGACGAACGAATGATGAGACGATGAGTGCAAAGCCATCCGACAATCGGTCGAGCCCGCTGATACCACCCGTGGCTGCCGTCTTAATGACACCAACCACGAAACCCACTTTTGTTACGGCATTGTTCGATTTCGAGGGTAGAGAAGATGGTGACCTAAGTTTTAAGAAAGGAGATCGGATAGAGGTAATAGAGAGGGGAAATGGTCCCGTCGATTGGTGGGTGGGTAAGGTGAACGGCGTTGTGGGTGAATTTCCTGGTACGCATCAAATTTTTTTTTTTTTTACTCGTTTTCACGTGATAAACGCCGATTGATTGATTGTGTTCTTTTTTTATTTTATTATTCCAAAGGTAATTACGTCAGAGAGTCATAATGTTTCTGATGAGAAGCTACGTTGTCTGTGTTGGGTAGCGAAAGAAGAGGATACGATCGAGTCGTTTCGAACTCTACCTTACCATGATCAATAAGTCACGTGCTCAAGAAAGTAAAAACACATGCATATACATCTATATAAATTAATTTAACCAATTAAATCAAATCATAAAATTTTTTTAAGTGGAATGTTTGTAACGCTAAGAACCGTGCGCTTTCCCTTCCCTTACTGTTCCCTTGTAAATGCTCAACTCTTCTTTTCCTCCTCTTCCTCCTCCCCGCACCAGATATGTCATCATCTTTATTTACTTTGACAATAAATCTTTAAGACTTTCGCACTTTCATCCTTCTTCTTCTTTTGACCACATCTGATGAAACATTGATTCTTTTGCCCCTCCGAAAGTAAACTTCACTTCCCCTTCATCCTTACGAATCCTAGATTTGGTAGTATATGAACGGTGTAACCTCTGCAACATCTAATGTGCGGCCGGAAGGAAACGGGTGAATGAATACCCTTCAAACAAAACATCCAGCTGTTCTCACAACATTTAATGGTTTTTTTTTTTACGACCGTATAAACAAAAAAAAGCCACGATCATTTAATATCACGTTTTAGGTTAAAAAGGGCGTGCGTCTGTGTATATATATATCAATCATAAATCTGATTCTTTTTTTTTTTTTTTTGCAACGTGGCAAAATGCTCTAGTTGGTTAGATGGTGGGCAAATAGTAGCACAGCATATAATTTTAGGCGACAAGGTTCATATAAGGAAAGGATGATGATCGCACATACTTCCATATTTGATTTATCATTTCAAAGCAATCAAGCACGCCAATGTTCCCAGATTCTCATTAATCTATTCCGGCAATGAAGGAGTAGATAAGAAGGATGTCCTTTGTGCAACAATGAGTAATCGCATAGGCCAATCATATCCTGAGCAACATTATTGAGTCGGAAGATATTTGCCGGGACACTCCGAGAATATAAAATGGTAATATGACCAACTTTTGTCATAACCACATGACGATGAAACTTTGCGTAAGTGTAAGAACAGGCTGATTGCATGCAGCAGATTATAAAATCAAATAATAAAGGTAACTTTATAATGATTTGCTTTTTCACTCCTTGTTGTTATTCTGTGTTGCTTTTTTTTTTTTTTTTTTGGGTGCTTTGTTCCAGTATAATAATCCTCTTTCGAGAGATGAAGTACTGTAATATCTTTTTTTCTCATTTCTGATTTCTCTCCCAAAAGAAAGCCTTCTCCGTCTAAGACACATAGGTCACGCTGGGAAAAGTGGCGAAAAAGAGGTTTTCACTTGCGAGCGAGGCCTCGGAGATGAGGTTTCTTTAGGCCGCAGCAGTGTTAAGAAAGTCCATATGACGAGCAAAGTTACACCGAGAGATGCCTTCTGAATTATGAAGAGGACTTTTTTTTATTCCATTGCTCTCAAATTTCTTCTGCACGATCGCTTTTTCTGAAATTATTCTTTCACGTACGACCTTTGTTTTCCCTATTTTTCAGCCCAAAACTTTGCCTAATAAAAAAGGCGTTAGGTGAAAAAAAAAAAAAATTATCACACATTACAGGTCAGCCCCCCAACAAAGGCCTAAATCATTATCAAGGAGAGCATAGTCATTCATGTAAATAATAGAATGCTCGTCTAGACTGATCTGCTCTTTTGGTGTTAAATTGGATTGAATACAATAACAAATCAATCCCCAAAAAAAAGAAGTTTGAAAGCAAAAAATGTTCTCTTTCGTAATTGCACAAACAAACTAGTCTATCCATTTTACTCTGTTTAATCTTTTATATTATGTGATTATTGGTTCATGCATCTCATTTTACAAAATGACCGTAAACAACACATTTATAGTAGACAGTGTGCGCCAACACAAAACTTTTTAGTGCATATTGTATTTCGTGTATAAAAAGATGTATGTATGTATGTATACTGTAAATAATATCTCAACATAAATTAAAAAAAAAAATTTTTTTTTTTTTTTCTGCTGTATGACTCGTTTGTCATCATCACTCGACAATTTCGCATGGCTGTGTCAGGCCGTCGAACCAATCAGTTTACTATTTAGGAATACGATCGCGAGTTCAATAAAAAAATTCAATCTTGTATGAATCCCGTGGTCAAAATTAATGTTTGTACTCTCAAAAATCGTATAAATATCCCTCAAGCCCCACTGCCTCCCAATTTCCGACTGTCTTCAAAAAAAAAAAAAGAATAATTTTGTCTATATATAATTTTTAAAAAAAAAAAATTTTTTTGAAAATCATCACAATCATCATATTCAACATAACATCACGTGAAACTTACGTCAACATCACAACAAACGTAAATCCATAAATAGGACCAATTTTTTTTTTTTTTTTTAATTAAATACCCCAGTTCAACGAAGTTTTTTTAACGAATAAGTGACTAAACTCTTAAGTGAGAATTAGTTTGAAACTTTGTTGAACCTGATTGCTCCGTATTCTTTCCTTAGTTTCCACGAAAATTTATCAAAGCTTTTTCTATTCGAATAATAAAAAGAAGTCGAGCCTTTCGAACACAAATCATTTCTAATCCTTCACAATGAGTCATCAAGTAATTCTCCCCAACGCTGATTATAGTGTACCGGTCGCCTATAATCAAGCCGTTCATGCCGTCGCGGTGCCGACGACTCCCCTTGGTGCAATGTACAATAATAACACCATGATGGTCGACGAGCAGACTAACGGCGAAGGTGCACAGGCTCAATCACAAAGCGTAGCCGGGATCTTACCCGTTTTGCAGTAAGTATGAAATCAATGGTCTCTTTATTTTTTATTTTTTATATAAAAAAAAAAAAAAAAATCTTGTTCGCCGAATACCAATCTTATTCACTGATCTCTTTCTTTTATCTGCTCGCTTTTTCTGTGGAACCCTGATCGTCCACTCGCAGAAACATTGTCGCGACGGTCAACCTTGATTGCAAACTTGACTTAAAGACCATCGCCCTTCATGCTAGAAATGCAGAATATAATCCAAAGGTACTACCGCATTGCTATGCGTTGGTAGCATAGACAACTGTGGTACTCTTTATAAAAAAGTTGCTAAACAAAGTTATATAATAATACAAATGTTATTAGCGTTTCGCTGCTGTTATCATGAGAATACGTGAGCCAAAAACAACCGCACTCATCTTTGCTTCGGGAAAGATGGTGGTTACTGGTGCTAAGTCCGAAGACGACTCAAAGCTTGCAAGTAGAAAGTACGCTCGCATCATCCAGAAACTTGGATTTAACGCAAAGTTCACGGATTTTAAAATTCAAAATATTGTGGGTTCTTGTGATGTGAAATTTCCCATACGTTTGGAAGGCTTAGCATACTCTCATGGACATTTTAGTAGTGTGAGTATTTTATCGATCCCCTTTACTCTCCCATTGCATCCTTTGATCTCACCCCTACATCCCGTGCGACGGTGTTTATAGTATGAGCCCGAATTGTTTCCGGGGTTGATTTACAGAATGGTGAAACCAAAGATCGTATTGCTAATATTTGTGTCGGGAAAGATCGTTCTTACCGGTGCCAAAGTAAGTTTAATTGACGAAGGGCGATACCAGTCTTGATGACTGATCGATATCATTAGCTACTCGTGATATCAGCGGTTACTGATGTTTTGTCCTTTTCCATTTCTATTCAGGTGCGAGAGGAAATCTATCAAGCATTTGAGGCTATCTATCCCGTACTGACGGAATTTAGAAAACCTTGAAAACGCTTAAATGATTTCTGTTCCGCATTTTGTTTGAATGAAAGGATTCGGCGAATCAAAATCATTTTTTCCCTTTTTTTTTTCTTTTTCCATTTTTTTTTTTCCATTTTTTTTTTTTTCTTTTTTTTTTTTTTTCTTTGCGGGAAAATGAGAGCAATTGGTAGATTTGCTTTTCATCATTTTGCACCGGTAAAACTTTTTTTCACACTACTCGCGGATAATACCCAATTTCATGAACATTTGACTGATACTAGTTTAGTATTATAAACCCAAAAATACCTTTATATATCACATAAATTTTATTGGATTCGACTATACAACAACACCATTCACCTCTTATTTCGATTCGTTTATTTTACTTAAGGCGATTGACGAATTGGATTGTGTAATATATATTCTCTTATTGCAAATTTGTACAAATTTTTTTCCATTTTCCCTTTTTTTTTTTTTTTCCTTTTTTTTTTTTTTTTTTTTTTTTTTTTTTTTTCCTTCAGTGTTTGCTCGTTTCATACACATCGCATATAGCAAATCACTCTCTATTCCCCCTCCCCCCAAAAAAAAAATTTCAAAAAGAGAATCCAACATCCACTTTGTGAATATCTCGGTTTTCTTTTTAGTTTTTTTCTTTTTTTTCGTGTTTCTTAAAAACCATTAATTTCTTTAGATCGCCACGACACCCTTTTTTTCATATGTAAAAAAAAAAAAAAAAAAAAAAAAAAAAAAAATGAAAAATAGAAAAAAATCAAATATATACAAAATAAAACAACACAAAAAAAGAAAATCATGATACCTGTGTTTGAAATGTATGATTCTAAAACTAAACGACGGGTGATTTAATCTCGAGTAATCTATGAATTGAAAACTACGTGAGAAACTTCTATTTTACCCCATGGTAGATCCAAAGGAGACCGAGTTTCAAACTGCACCGATCCGCTATTCTCTATGGATTTTAGTTTACATTAATTATTTATATTAAATTCTAACTTTACGTTGTTATTAGCAATTCGTTGATTAAATTAAAAAAATTTTAACGCTTTTTTTTTTCTACTTGAATTTGTTGACGATTTTTTTTTTTAACTAGAAACAATTTGAAAATCTGATAGTATTTATTATGCTATCTGATTTTTTTATTACCTTCTTCTTTCTATCGTTTTCCCTATTTGTGCAACCGATTTTTTATTAACTTTTTTATAAAAAAATTGTATTGAAATGAAATTAATTTATTCTATTAATATTAGTTTTTTGATTATGTTAATAAATTTGGAAATTATTTTTTGTTTTTGTTTTTTTTTTTGACCCACCATCAGGCTGACACAACTTATCTTTATTGTGTATTTTAAAATTATTATACAATTTAAAAGACTTTCACATAACAGCTATCTTAGAAGTTTAACTTTTCTAGATGCAACTTAAGGAATGATATTTTGCTCTCTTAATAACTTGGATTATTCTTTAGCTATCAAGTTCATTGCTTACAGGTCATCACTATATTGGAAATTATTTTTTATTTTTTTTTTAATTTGTATAATTTTATTTATTTGTTTTTTTTTTAAAAAAAAAACTTACTTAAAAAATACTTTTAAACATCATTTGTATTATACAAAAGTATTTTACCATTTCATTTTTTATTAACTTGAATAAATACAAATTATTATTGTCATTATTATCAGAAAAACTCTTCATCAATTATCAGTTTTTTCTAAAAAAGAATTTTTTTTTTATTACTTTTTTTAAAAAACAAAAGTAATCAATATTAAATACAAGAGAATTTTTCAAGAAAACAAAAATATTAATTTAATATGAAATCTTATCAAATATATAATATAAGCATAAGAACAAATTAATTTATACTTTATATATTTTGTTATTATAAAGAAAAAAAAGTTTTTAAAAAAATAATTTATAATAAGTTTTTTTAAGATTTTTGTAAAGTTTTAATCTAACTAATACAAATTAGCATTTTATTATTATTATTATTATAAAGAAAAATTTTATAAACAATAACTTAAATTGATACTATCAATAATTTAAAATTCAAACTATTTAGTATTATAGCAAACCTATTCTTTAATAATTTTTATATAATCCTTTTTTTTTTTTTGTTTTCTTGATCCATATTTTTTATTAGAGATGATATTGATTCTTTATAATCTTATATAGTTAATATATTCAATTTGTCTTTGTATTTCTTTGCTCTTTTTCTTTCTCTAATAATATCTAGATTTTTTTTTCAATTTATTACTTTGATATAATAACTATTTTAAATCTTTTTCTTGATATTTTTTTATTTCTTTTAACAGAACTTGCTGATTATAAACTATATAGCTATTAAAAAGATTTTAAGTTGCTCTTTGAAATAATCTTAAGAATATAATTTTATTTTATTTCATGTATTTATATAAAATATAATTCTTTAAGAATATAATTTTATTTTATTTTATATAGTATATTTACATATAGTATTAAAAAAACTATTATTTAATTATTGAATTCCTTATTAATTAATTTTTTATTCAATTATCAGTCTCTAATATAACTTTTTTTTTGTCATCTATTTCTTTATCAATATAAAGATTAATTATTTTATTTATTTTTTTCTATATATTTTCTTGACTTATTTTGAAATCAAATATTTAAAAAGATAATTTAATGTTTTTTCTAATAGTTTATATACTGAGTAAATAAACTTTTAGTTTTTTAATATTGAATATCTATAGAATCAAAAGTTTATTATAAATTAAATTTATTAAAAAACTTTTGTTTTTATTAATTTCAAAAAATGTATGGAAGATATTAAATAGATTGAATTATTATATTTTCAAAAAAATTAATTAATTTATATTTTTATTTTACTAGATTCAAAGATTCTGAATTCTATTTTATAATAATTAATTTAGATTAATCCTTTTCTTATTTGTTATTTTAATAAACTTCTTAATATTAATATTTATTATAATTTTTTTCATATAACTATTATCAGAACTTTTTTTAACTTTAATAACTGATATTATACTATTAAATTTTTATATCTAATCTGCTTTATAAAAGAGTTCACATAATTATTGAACTTTTTACTATTATAAACTTTAATCTTCTTAATTTCAAGAATAAGATCTTTTTTTAAATCAAGTCTTTAATTTTATTTCATATACTAATCAAAATTATGTTATTCCGCTATCAGATTATTGTCAAATTTGAAAAAATACAATAATAAAAAGATTGATAAATCTTTTACAATTGTTGTTACTCAGTATAAAAAATATCAGAAAAAAATTGACAAAATTTTTTTGATATATTGTGATAAAAAAATTCAGTACAAAATCTAATAATATTATAACAAAAAAATTGATACTATAGCAAAAAATTTAACAAAAAAATTAATACTGCAGCAAAAAATTTATCAAAAAAATTATTGTGATAAAAAATTCAGCAAAAAGTTGATATTGCAGCAAAAAAATTTAGTAAAAAAAATTACTGCAACAAAAAATTTGACAAAAATTATAAATCCAGTATTGAAATTTGATAAATATTTAAGAAGTTTAACAAATTTCACGAAATTTATTAAAAAATCATAAAATCAATTAACTAAATTATTTGTCATTTTTCTCTTCCTCCTCTTCTACTTGTTTTTTTTTTTCTTTT